TCTAAGGTGCCACAAGTACTCCTGTTCTTTTTGCGGATACAGACTAACACGGCTGCTACTCTGAAACCTAGAATAAATCTGGTTCTTATTTTACTCTGCTGTTTCACAGCTGACAGGCATTCTCAGTGGAAGAGAGAGATGGAATACAGGAATACAGGCTGTGGCAGTTGGGGTGAGAGTTGGCAATGGCTATGTCAGTTGGGTGGGGGGGGCACATTAGGATCAGGGAGCAGCGATTATCCTTTTGTTCTGTTTGTATAGCACCAACCTGGTCAATGACTGGGGTTCTTAGGCACTATGGTAATACAAGTAATACATGATAATAAGCTCTCATGATAGAGTCGGTGTCAGTTGGGAGTAGTTATGGCAGTTGAAAAAACACTTTGGACTGGATGTGTCATTTGGAGTAAGAGCAGGAACTGGCTGTGATGGCTGCAATGAGGCAGGAGTGACTGTGCAAGTTGAGATGAAATTGGGAGTGGTTGTGTGAACTGTGGGGAGAGGATCTTGTGAATTAGGAGCTTTGGTGATTGCTAGGGTGGCCACTCATGCATTCCCAGAATACAAGACATTTTCTAATTCCAGGAATAGCATGGGCCTGCCCCTGCTAGCGTGACCTACCTCCCACACCATGCCACATGGGGGGACGCCATTTTGAGGAATACGCTGTCCTGCTTCCGTGACCTCACCTGCATGGTGTGGGAGGTCACACAGTGGAGCAGCGTGTTCCTCAAAATGGTGTCTCCAACATCCGATACGGCACAAATCCACATCTGGTTTTGTCTCAGTCCCAGACAGGGGACAAACTGCCCAACAGATGGCCCGTTGGGTTTAAAACCTCACCAGCAGCTTCCCTGGCCAGAGCTGGGGCAAAGGCTGGAGCAGCTGTGCCTGCTGGAATCCATATGCAGTGCTGTTGTTGTAGGGCGTCAGTCAGCCAGGCCTCTTTCGCTTCTCACACCTGGGAGGGAGGCAGCGTCCGTCTTGACGGGGATGGCACGAGGCACAGGCCTTTCCAGACAAGCCATGGCGGCAGGAGGCCTTCCGCCCAGCAGGCTGGTGGCATGGCCGGCCCCACTGAGCAGGAGAGAGTCTGGCACGGAGTGGGGGGAGCACATGGGGTCCTGGGCCAACGGACAGCTCACAGCACCTGGGGCCAACCCGGGCAAAAGCGCCCGCCTGTCGGGGGGGGGGTGTTCCCCATCCACCCCAATGGGGCCTCTCCTCCCCCTCACTCCTTCCCAGGGACCCCGGCCCTGCCCATCTCCCCTTTTCCTGCTCTTAGTTGACACCTCCGCCCCGCCCCGCCCCCCTGGCGACACGACGCTTCCCTCTAACGCCCGGACGCCGGAAGGCGTGAGGCCGTTGGGCGTGCTCTGACCCCGGAAGTGCTTGTGGACGGGGAGGCACTTCCGGTGCGGCGGCCGGGTTCTTCCCGGCGTTCGGTCGCCAGAGGCGGGGAGGTTCCTGTCACCGCTTCCCCAGGGGCCGTGGCGCGTCCTGGGCCGGGCCGTCTCCCCGGCATGCTGGGGCGGCCGCCCCCCTCGCCGAGCGCAGCCTCCCGGGCCCGCGGCCGCCTATGTCGCTCGCTGGCAGCTCCGCCGCTGCCCCCGCTTCCACGCTGCTGCGCCGGACTCTGTGCCCCGGCTGGGATGTGACCGGCCCGCGCTCGCCCGGTGCTGCCAAGTGAGTCACCGCCGGGGCCGCGGCGCCCTGCCCCCAACACCCCGGCCTGGCGCCTCCCGGCTGCCGCTGGCTCGTAGGGGATCCCGGGGCTGCGCCTGGTTGTCCACCCCCCCTCCCCCAGCAGCCCCGGGCTCAGCGGCGCCTGGCGCGTTACTGGCTGGGGCAGCTGTTCCCCGTGACAGGTGACAGCGCCGCCCGCCCTCGTGGAGCTGCTAGGGCAGACCGTGCACTGCTTGTAGCCTGGGTCTTGCCTAGGCAGAGTGGTCGAGTTTAGGGAACGTGCTAGCTAAGCCAGACCTCAGCATGACTTTCTAGTGCAGGTTTGCATTGTGTAGCTGGTTGTGTCCTGCCGAGGCATAAGGCAGGGCTGGGGCCTTTTTCTGTATTTTGTTGGATTTTGTTCTGCTGTGGTGGTCATGTGGATCCTGAAATCCTGACTCTCGTGTACTTACTTAATAAAGCCTGCTTCAGAATACATGGAGTGGACACCTCGCAGGATAAAAGGATTGTTTAGCTTCCATGCTCATTCAATGTTTGGCCTTGCTTTTGTGAGCCTGGACAATCAGATAAAGTGGTTTTTGGAACTGTCCACTGAGACCTGGGCTTAAAAAAAAAAAAAAAATCAAACTCATTTCATGGTGGCTGCCCCCAAATCTGGTGCATAACAACTTTTAGGTGCAGCCACCCTGGGCTGGATTTGAATTAGCAATTTAAAGGAAAGGGCTGGTCCCATGAGCCACCTAATCTTCCTTATCACAGTACCGTATTGTGATTACCTTGAATACGTTGGAGGTCTGTGCTGTACTTATGTCCACTAGTGTCCCTCTGTGGTTTTGTACTGTACAAAACTCAAGAAATAAGATAGTGAAAATAAATCTCAATATCTGATCGGTTAATGGAATCAAGGGTCAGTGCAGTCTTCAGTTTATGAAGATGAATTAAAAACAATTTACTAAAACTGAAGTGTTTGAAGTTTCTGAAGTTATGCATTTTTAAATGGTCTGTTTTAGCAATGGAAGCTCAGTATGATGGCACTGAAGTAACTGTTGTGATGGAGGAAATAGAGGGCACCTACACCTATGCATCTCCAGTACCATCTAAGAAGAAGAAAAAATACAAAAGTCCTGGAGATCAAGGGGAAAAGGCCAAAAAACCCAGGTGAGCTCCTCTGTCTTCCTTGCTTAGTTAATCTCGAGCTTTGTACAGTTTAGGAACAGTATTCATTACCTTTGGTATAAGACTTACCTCTGCAATATACTTGGTCTGGTTTACTTATTGCCCTAAACAATTGGTACTCTTCTCAGAAGAGAACATTTATATCCTATATACAGGAATATAGCCTTACCACTTTGAAATAATGTTATGTATGTACCATACCTTTCTGATAACTGCTATTGCTTGACCAGAGTCCTGCAATCTCTGCAATTCCATGGCTGGGGTGGGGGGGACCCTCTTTACTGCAGAATTGCACTCCAGAATCTAAAATGTCATTTAAAAAACATTGCAACTACAAGGGGAGCTAAAAAATACGCTTATGTTGCCTGTCTGAGTTGCAAACAGCCTGAAACTGTAGCTCTAATGGGGAGCAACTTCATTCATCTCAGTCGGGTATTGACTGACACCTAATGACAACTTAAAGTATTAAGGGTCATAGTAGAATGTTTTATCAAATTAAACATTAGTATTGCCATTTTAAATAAGTCTTTTTAAAACATAAGTCTGATAGAATTTCTAGTTTGCTGCTCTGGAGTGTGGCAGAATTTAGGCCAACATAGTCACTGAGTACATGGAGCCTTGGTTATAAAATAGAGCTGAGTCATGAACAGGTAAAGCACTTACCTCAGATGAAAGCAAAGGAAAATAAATTAGTATTTTAAAGGCAGTAAAATCATATAACCAAGGGCTCCACAATTCAAACAGTTCTCTCTTTGAACAGGCCCCTGCCAACCCCTGCTCCTTTATAATTAGGGACCCACCGAATTCACAATCCATTTTGGTCAATTTCACAGTCATAGGATTAAAAAAAAAAAAAGTAGGTTTCAGCAATTTAAATCTGAAATTTCATGGTGTTATAATTGTAGGGGTCCTGACCTAAAGAGGAGTATGGGGGGGGGGTGTCACAAGGTTATTACGGGGGGAGGGGGGGAGGTTGCAGTACTTCTACCCTTACTTCTGTGCTGCTGCTGGTGGCGGTGCTGCCTTCAGAGCTGGGCAGCTGGAGAGTGGCAGCTGCTGGCTGGGAGCCCATTTCTGAAGGCAGAGCTGCCACCGCCAGAAGTGAAGTAGTAAGCATGGTATGGTATTGCCACCCTTACTTCTGCACTGCTGCCTGCAGAGCTGAGCCTTCGTTCAGCAGCCGCCACTCTCCAGCTGCCCAGCTCTTAAGACAGCAGTGCAGAAGTAACATGGCATGGTATGGTATTGTCACTCCTGGACTGCTGCTGGCAGGGTGCTTCCTTCAGAGCTAGGCACCAGGCCAACAGCAAACCACTCTCTGGCCCGCCAGCTCTGAAGGCACCATAGAAGTAAGGGTGGCAATACCGCAACCATCCTGCAACTCCCTTTTGGGTCAGGACCCCCAATTTGAGAGAGGCTGGTTCCCCTGTGAAATCTGTATAGTATAGGATAAAAGCACACAAGACCAGGTTTCATGGGGGGAGACCTGATTTCATGGTCCATGACACGTTTTTTCATGGCCGTGAATTTGGTAGGGTCCTATTTGTAATCCTAGTGGTCTCATTCTTTCTGAGAATCAGGAATCCAGAGTTCACAGCCCTCCTTTCTAGAGCTAAACTAATCTAAACAATCCCTTTATTCCCTGTAGCACTCACCTGCAACTACTTACTCAGACCAGCCAGTTTCCCAGGTATCTGTTCTGCCTAGAGTATTACTGGCTTCTTCCTTATATCCCCAGGCGTGGCCTGAGTTAGTCACATGACCTTCCTATCACATGACCAAAATCATTTTCCCACCTGTGGAGCTGATCTGATCTTGTCACAAGTGGGTCTGAGGCCCATCTCCTCTTAAGAGGCCAGTCATCCATTGACAGTACCCAATAATTGCATGTTTAATTTGTGATCTACCACTTTATGTCCACTAAATGGTTAAAGCACTGTTAGTGACTCAAGTATGTTTCACATTTTGTTGAATGATTGATATTGGTCTGTGTGCCCAGTCCCCTAAGTCTCTTTACGTGTCTTTATTTTTATTAATAAAGACTTTTCCGGCTGTCTATGGAAAACAAGCCCATAAAAGTTCTCATAATTGCCCTTGAGGCCAGTATATGACTGGTGGTGTCTTTGTTTCAGGTGTGTTGTTAAGGAATAGAGTTCAAGTTCAGTATCCACTTGTGTTTCAGATCCGCTTACCTCCTGTACTATTATGATATATACTTGAAAGTACAGCAGGAGCTCCCCCACCTCCCCCAATCTGAAATTAACAAGAAGATCAGTGAGAGCTGGAGGTTGCTCAGTGTGGCTGAAAAAAGCTACTATTTGGAAAAGGCCAAACTGGAGAAAGAAGGATTGGACCCAGTAAGTCAACTTTCTTAAATAGTTTCACATTTTCTGCCATCCCTAGGCATATTTTTTAATTTATTTATATTAATCATCAGTTGCTATATTCTTTGCTTTCTCCTGAAAATATGATGAGTAAAATATTAGGAAAAATCCTGAGTTGCCAGCTATTTTTTTACCTAATGTAAATTTGATTTTGGTGTCAAATAAGCATCGTTTCCAGTGTATTCAGAGGTAGTTGAGATGACCTCTCCATTAGAATTGAAGAGCTGCCCCTTTTCTGTAAATTTGCAAAGCATTTTGAGTCTAATGATATCTGATTACACTGGACTAAGCCACATTATAGTGCAGTACAGTGTAATGTAACCTGACAAAAGCACAGTGTGTAAAAGGACAGAAGCAGACTAACTATATGTATGAGAGAGATGTTTTAGACCAGGCCTAGAATATGGCTGGCTTAGTGGCAATGCAGATCATGATTATGTGGGAGAGAGACACTTCATTACAGATTTTGGTCTGTAGTCCTGCTTGGGTTAGGATTGTTGTAGAGGCTTGGGGGTGAAAAGAAGGTAACTTCTTCTGTTGCTCCAGCCAGCTAGCTAAGGAGCAGCATTGGCAGACTCCAAAAGGGTCCTGTCCAGTACCTACTGGTCAGAGGAATAGTGACTTTCTGGTAAGGCCTCCAGGATGAGTGGGATTAATGTAGGGGATAAGAAGAGGGGGGATTCTGAAGGCTCTGTTAGAGATGTGAAGGACTTGCCAGCAATCTGCCTTTGGAAGTTATTTGAACTAATGGATGCACTTTAAATAAATAAACAAACAAACAAACACCTCTTATCCATGATCATGAACCAAACCTACTTCCTTCTGTGTCCCTTGCTCCTCTATTCCATACTTTGTTTTGTCAACAGAACTCCAAGCTGTCCACTCTGACTGCAGTAGTTCCAGACATTCCAGGTTTCCGTAAAATCCTCCCTCGTTCGGATTACATAATTATCCCCAAAACCACTCTTCAAGAGGACAGGAGCAGGCAGCACCTAGAACTATGCGTGGCTCAGGGCCAAACAGCATCTGAAGGAGTAACAGCTTCCACTAACATCACCAGTGTTGCCCACGATGCCATGCAAAACATCCTTTCTGTGGACTCGAGCCATGTTGGCATTTCTGAACAGTGCATTGCCATTGAAGGACTGGCAGAAGAGACTGCCTCATTTGGTCAGTCAGACACTATAGAAGAAGTAGTTGCTTCAGAGATTCTCTCTCATTATGTCAGACCCATAGCAGATAAAATGACTGGAGATATCCTCCTGGATGAGGCTTCTTTGGAAATAGGAGAGGGACATCCATATCAGACAACTAGCGTGGTTATTGAAGAGACTCTGGTTAGCAGCTGCAGAGACATCTCCAATGGGAGCATTGCTGTGGCACAACCCCAGGTTTCTGATGGTTTGTCTGTGGTAGCAGTGGTGACCGGGAGGGTAAGCTAAGCTAGTGATTGCTAGTAACTCTATATTTCTATTAACTTATTGCCTGATTTTTTCCTATAGCTGCTTAAAATCTTTATAGTGATTCATGCTGGCTGAAAGTGACATTAATAAATTACACCACTCCTGCTCCACAGCTCAACTAGATCAATAGTGATGGAAGCAGCAATCTTTGCTCATTATAAGTCAGTCAGAAATGCAGTGCAGTGTCTCATCTCCTCCCTTCCACTGTTAACCTCAGGCCTAAAAGATGAAGTGCTGGATCAAGCTTTGAACTGTGGGTTTGATTCCACAGATATGCTAAAGCACTGTTCTACGGTATCTCTGTGTTTTATCTCTCTGTCCCACGTGGCTAACTTCCCAGCTGCAGAGGACTGAATGAGGACTCCTTTTGAACACCCTGGTGGTGTTAAGGCTTCAGTGCCATAAAGCAGTTTCTGTTTAGGAACAGAGTATGTTGCTTTCATAGTGCTTAGATTGTGAAGAGAGTGACAATCTCATAATCCAATCTGCAGAGCACTCCCACTAGGCCTTCACTCTTGAAATCCTGTTAGTTGTACTGCTGGTGCCTCACTGCTCTATTGTATGATATGCTCTTAAATCGCATGGTGAAGAGACCCTCAATAAAAGGGCAGGACACAGCTAGCTAGATGTGTCTCCCTGTCTGTTACGTACCTTTTCTTCTTCCTCTTTTTATTTTTAGGACACAGATGAGAGCAGCTCCTCCATGCCTACCACCCAGTTTATTATGCTACCTCTCCCGGCTCACTCTGTTGTGGAGAACCCAACATCAATCAAACTGGTGAGTAAAGGAGGAGCCTGTATGTTTCTCTTAGGGCTTACTTACAGTAGTGTATGGAAAGTGTTAGTTCCCTAAGGTAGACAAGACACACTAACTTGTCTACGTTAGGCTGTTAACATATATTGGTACATATATTGACACCTTCCAAATCCTAGCCTAGACATAGATTTAAGAGGTTTTATCATGTTCTGCTCCTTTACCTTGACCAGATGGCTGTCGCTTCCTCTCTCCTATAAGTTCCTGTATACTCTAGTGCAATAGCTTCAGATAAACTTATAAAATTCCATTTTTTTTAAATGAATATGGAAACAAATAATGCTGTCAATACAACCACCTTCTGTGCTGCTTACTTTGATTATTTTAGGCTGTCTTCACATTTTTTTGTAATGGCGCATGATTATACTGCATAGATTGACTGAGGAAGATGGAGGGGCTGGTAATTCTACTGAGACGCAATTGAGGCTTTTGGTACCTAAGGAGAAATGGAAGGCAGTTCAGGTTTTTGTTAAAATCATCATCGGTGAGATATTTCACAATTTAAGAGTCCCCTTCAGATATTACAGTTAGCACCCACAGCGATGAATAGAGTAGTTCACGTCTCTTGGCTATTTGCAGACTGGTATGGCAATGAATCCGCTTACGCTTGGTTCATGTTTCTTCACATTTATAAAGGATTGAGATAATTTTTAAAAATGCAAGCTTACCTCCTGCAGCAAGGGTTATATCTCGTGCCAAATTGCACAGCCGCAGGAAACATGGGCCTTGATAATATTTAAGTGATTAGTAAAGGGACCTAGATCTCTGAACCTCTAGGTTCTGACTATAACCCTGACTTTCACTAACCTTTTACAGGCAAAATACTTGACCTTTTGTGTACATCAGTTTGTCATCTGTAAAATGTGTAGTATGACTTGGTTTATGGAGGATTGTGGTGATTATGGAGTTAGTGTTTGAGTGCTTACTGGTAGAGAATGATGATTGTGAGGTGGCTTTATTTACCTAATTTTGCAAAGAAATTGTTGGCAACCCTTTTGTTTCAGACAACCACTTACACCCGCAGGGGCCATGGAAACTGCACCAGTCCTGGTTGTTCTTTTACTTATGTCACCAGACACAAACCGCCAAAGTGCCCAAAGTGCGGGAACTTCCTGGGAGGGAAATGGATCCCAAAGGTACCTTTCCACATAACTTTCTTTTATTTCTAATGACCGAGTCTCAGCTGGAAAGTGACACTTCTGTAAATACCTGTGAAACCCCAAAGTCTGTGTGCCAGGCAAGTCAGAGACCTGAGGAAGCGAATCCCTGTCCTTTTCTGCCAGTATCTCTGCTAGAGCAAGTCACCAGTGAGATGGTTAGACTTGTTTTCTATCACAGAGCTCTTTTCTGGATTTCTTGTCTCTGTGCTGAGGATACCACTTATGTAGTAATCATGAATAAAAGGGACAACCTTGTGAAGCCCTGACCCTTAGACAGGCCACTGTTCCTTTCTTGCTTTCTGACTGCAACATGATGCCAGTATTTGAAAGATGCCCCCCAAACCTGCTTACAGCATCAAATGAACCTAGGGACTCAGTTCAACCACTTGTCTCATGGTCTTTTTATAGACAGGTGGGTAAACAAAACAAGCATTGTCTTGTCTGGTATGGAGCCATTTTAGCAGGGTAAGATTCCACTACAGCATTTTTACCATGATCTGAAAGGGAAACAAACAGCAAACTTCAAAATACAGAGGACAGTTGGATCACTTGGGCGCCAAGCCACAGGAATTCCAGAACCACCACCCTCCTCCCCACTACAGTCTGGGTCAGCAAGGTCCTGTGTGTAACAGACCTGGCTGCTCGCTGAGTATACTTAGCTCCTAGATTGGGTGTGGTGGAAAAGGCAGCTCTAGAGAGCTGGAGCTGTAAAAGAGAGGGCATCATATTTAGAGAAAGCAATGGATGAATGAGTTCTCAGGTGGCTATTTTGATAGTAATGCTGATGTCCTGAGTGGGTTTAAAAAATGACTAAAGCCTGGTCTATGCTTAAAATTTGGAACAATCTAGCTGTGAAAAAAGTCACACCCGAGTGCCATTGTTAAGCCAACCTAACCCCCAGGAAAGATGTGGCTAGGTTGACGAAATAATTCTTTCGTTGACCTACCCACTGCTGCTCAGGAGGGTGGATTACCCACATTGACTGGAAAACCCCTTCTTTTGCCATAGCACGTGTCTACACCAGGGGTCGGCAACCTTTCAGAAGTGGTGTGCCAAGTCTTCATTTATTCACTCTGATTTAAGGTTTCGCGTGCCAGTAATACATTTTAATGTTTTTAGAAAGTCTCATTCTATAAGTCTATAATCTGTAAACTATTGTTGTATGTAAAGTAAATAATGTTCTTAAAATGTGTAAGAAGCTTCATTTAAAATTAAATGAAAATGCAGAGCCCCCCCGGACCGGTGGCCAGGACCCGGGCAGTGTGAGTGCCACTGAAAATCAGCTCGCGTGCTGCCTTCGGCATGTGTGCCATAGGTTGCCTACCCCTGGTCTACACTATGGCGCTACAGTGGTGCTGCTGCTATTGCACCTGTAGTGTAGACATGACCTCACGCTATGCAATGAGAAGTGTTTGTGAAAAAGGCATGACGGGATAGAACATTTTGTATGTACTGTTAGCAAGGATCTCAGTGTATGAAGAGAGAAAGTTTGTTCTGGCTTTATATACAAGTGTACTGCTCAGACCCTTACCTTGCTGCTCCTCTAGCCAATGTTAAGCAGCCATCAGCGGATCAGCCAAGATATGAATACGTTTTGGATGTGGAAGTCTGGAGCTCTGAAACGTCTGGGATGTTCTGATCTTTTTGTTCTCTTTCTAGGAAAAGCAACCGAAAGGCAAAGCTGAGCAGAGTTCAGGGATCCCCCTCAAAGCACCAGGGGCTAAACGAAGCCAGCAGCCAGTAGCCACAGGGCAGACAGCTGCTCAGGAGGATGGCACCAAGTCTTCTCTGGAAAGCTCTGAAGCGGTCAGCCAGCTACTGAATGCAGTGCCTGTTCAGGAGCAGATACAGGAGACTGAATGGGAAGAAGTGATCATCTCTGAGGCTCACATCCTTGCCAACAATGTGCAAGCCCAGGACAGAGGGAATGCAGCAGCAGTGACGCTGGCTAAAGATAACGATGTGCAGGGCAACTCCTTCGAGCAGCCCGAGAAAGACAGCATAGGGACAGGGCCACAGCCATCTGTTGAGATGACAAGTCCACTTCCCAGTCCAACTGCCACTGTCAAAAAGCCAATGGGGTGAGTCAGTTTTGAGTGATTCATAAAGATGTCACACTGAGCCATCGCTTGTGTGTGGCAGTGTGCATGGTACTGGCCTCTGAGCTTCTTGGATGGCTCATTTAGGTAACAAGTGAATCAGGATAAATCTGAGGTCAGAGATTTGTCCTCCAGTCCTTCAAAAACATCGTAGCTATTAGTTTTGCTCTCTTCCATTCTACCCTCTGCCATGGTATGTGACTGCACTTCACTGGCATAGGTGGAACTTTTGCTACAACGGCACTTCTTGTCTTTCAGAATTGATGCTCTTGCTGCTGCACCGAAAGGACAAGAACTGAAGAGCAAACCAAAACCCAAGCCCTCCTTACTGGCTGCTGCAAGACCCATGAGAGCGATCCTACCTGCCCCTGCTAGCTTGGGGAGGGAAGCCCGCACAGAGCATCTCAGCAGCCAACAGGGCTTTCCAAGTAATGGTAAAAGCAAGAAGCCATCCACAATAGGTTTAGACAGCAGAATCGCCTTAAGCATGGGGAGAAGGAGGCAATTAGCACATGGCATGTAGTGGAATGCTATATTTGGAGTGACTTGCTGGCTTGATGTTACAATGTTAATGCCCTACAAAGACCTTTTAGAAGTACTTGTTTGGATTACAGGCGATTTAGAGTTCAGTGGGTCTGTTGTAGTCACCAGTGGACTCTTTACAAAGTTAGCTTTCGGCAGCTGACCCCTCAGCTGGACAGAATGGGATTTGCAAAGCCTGATTTGATCAGTTCAGGTTCAGAGGACAGCAGCTCCACTGTGTCCCGTGGCTGCATTTGCCAAAGTTGTCAAAGTAAAACAAAAAGATTTCAAACATTTAACCTGCAGTTTTCTTTCCTTCTTCAAGATAAGCATTCCCCTGTGAGAACCTCGGGCCTGAAGCCCAGTACGCTGAAGCAGTTGGGTCAGTCTGTCCTACAAACATCTAGCATTAGTGAGCGAAAGGTGAGTGATTCTTGCTTTTCCAAATGCACGTTCTCTTGCACTTGGATTTCTCTGCTAGGTTCAGGGTAGGATTTCACTCTTCTGACCTGAATGTGTAGAAACTGAGTATAAATCTGGTAACCCCTTGATGATGGGATTTGTGTCTAATGTTACTTAGGCCTGGTCAACGCTGTGGGGGGGGGGGGGGAAAATCGATCTAAGATACGTTGACTTCAGCTACACTATTCTAAGTGGGCTGTAGTCCACGAAAGCTTATGCTCTAATAAATTTGTTAGTCTCTAAGGTGCCACAAGTCCTCCTGTTCTTCTTTTTACTATTCTTGTAGCTGAAGTTGCATATCTTAGATTGACTTACTTTGCGTCCTCGCGGCGCAGGATCGACGGCCGCTGCTCCCCCTTTGACTCCGCTTCCGCCTCTCACAGCGGTGGAGTTCCGGAGTCGATGGGGAGCGTGTTCGGGGATCGATTTTATCGTGTCTCATATAGACATGATAAATCGATCCCCGATAGGTCGATCACTACCCGCTGATCCGGTGGGTAGTGTAGACGTACCCTTAGTATGTGAGATTTATATGAGGCAGCATAGGCTAGTGGTTGGAGCACAGGACTTTGGAGGCAAGAAATGTTGAGGTCTAATTCTGGGTCTGTTGCTCTGTGGTCTTGGACTAGTCCTTCCATTCGCTTCTTTGATACCCCTTTGAGATAACTAAGGAGGGGTTATTTGGGGGATCTGTTAGTGCTTTGAAGATGTGATGTGTGATAGAAGTACTAAGTATTATTCTTGCATGTGTGCTGTGAGACTTGACTGGTTAAGAAGCAAAGCTGTTAGAATAAGTTTGAGTTTTAACCCTATAATTTGCAAAGTACTAAAATCCTTTGTTACTTAATGGCTTTAAAAGAAGATCAGTGAACACCTTTAATAGTTACTGCTTGTGAGCTGTAATCAGTGCCAGATCTCTCAAACGTTTGATTTATATGCTTTTCCGCCCCCCCTTCCCCTCCTCAACTGCTTTCAATCTACAGCTCCACAGCAGCCCAACCAGCAGGGCCTCTCAGGTGAAAGTAGTGGAGGTCAAACCAGACGTATTTCCCTCCTATAAATACAGCTGCACCGTAACTTTGGTAAGGGTCTTTTGGTCATTCGATTCCTGATGTGGGGCACCACTGAGCCTGTTTTGAGAAGTGGCAATATTCTTGGAAGGCAATTTGCTTTCCTCTTCATGGTTAGTGCTTTTGACCTGATAACTCTAAACTTGACAAGGCGCTGTGGGTACTCAGGCAATCACTTCTGGCTCTGCAGTCTGCTCCAAAGGCACAGTTTAGGATTTGGCTCTTTTAATTTTTAAATGCAAGTATTGTCCATGTAATGTGCTGCATTAACAGCACTAAACATCTCAGTCTCCTGCATGGGTAATGGTAGGGTAAACTTCCCTGCATGGCAGTACTAATATCTCAACTCTGTCCTGGAGGAGCCATCATTAGAGGGAAGAATGTAGGCCACAGTTTCCATGCTGATGAGATATGTTCTCTTGAGACTGCCATAAGAAACACCTGTTGCAGTGGTGGTTTTTGTGAAGTGACACCTCTCTAACAGGGCCTGGCCCGAGTGGTCAGATCCAGCTCTCATTTTTTCCATGAACTGCTGTGCTGGCTTCAGCAGGTAGTGATTTCAGGTCACTACTGACCTGGGCTGGATTTGAGCCAGTGACAAAGTTGAACGGTTTTGTGTGGTATTACAAGTACTTTTTTGTCGCACAGTCCTTGTGATTGGCTTCTCAGTTATGCTCCTCCTCCTCTTGGCTTATCTCTCTAGAATGGCTCTACTCCTGCAACTTTCAGGCTTGCATGGAAATATCCTGGCTCCTTGTGTGATTGAAAGAACTCGTGCTTTAGGTGTTTCACTGCTGACTTTCAACAGCTACATTGAATTAGAAACTTTAGTGTTGTGTTTGAAATCATATTTGCTACTAACCCCTTAAAAACTGGATTCTTCTTGGTGCCCTTATGCAATTCTAATTCCCCCTTGCATTAATTCAGGAGGATCGAATATCCTTTATTGCTGAATTTGTTTCCTCTGCCGAGTATCTATGGTATTTGGAACTAGACTTAAAGCATACAGATTAATTGAACTGGTCCTCAAAGTAAGTGGCCAAGCCTGTGGTTTGTCCCCTGAAATTAAGTGTTAGACATTGCGGGACAGGATGTGCTATTCTGGCAGACTTCTGTTGGCATCTGAAAGTAAGATGGAAGAAAGTTTTGCCTCTCTTTTTCCAGGATTTGGGATTGGCAACATCACGTGGCAGAGGGAAGTGTAAGAACCCCTCCTGTAGCTATGTATACACAAATAGGCACAAGCCGCGGATATGTCCCAGCTGTGGCTACAACCTCGCCAAAGACAGAGCTGAGAAAACTGTGAAATCCCTGGTGAGTTATGTTCTTTCACGCTTGCTGAACTATTGAGTTAATTGTATTTGGTCTTTTAGATTCATAGATTTCAAAGCCATTGTGATTATCTGGTCTGACTTCCTGAGTAATACAGGCCATAGAATTCCCCTGAATAATTCCTAGAGTGTACTTATTTAAAAAAGCATCCAATCTTGATTTAAAAGTTGCCAGTGATGGAGAATCCACCACAACCCTTGGTAAATTGTTCCAGTAGTTAAATACCCTCACTGTTTAATAATAAAAAAAAAAATTACCTCATTTCTAGTCCAAGTTTGTCTAGCTTCAGCTTCCAGCCACTGGCTAGTGGCTTTCTGGGTTGTAGATAGAGCTGGTTGAAGCTCAGAATTTCCATTCTGTGGGAAATTGACAGTTTGAAATTTGTGTTTGCTCTGAATTAGAACAAAACCAAAAAGGGTTAAAAATTTTCCACAAAAATGAAATTGTTGAAAAAAATGTAGTTTCAGGTTGATAGCAAGTTTGGTTCTGATTTTAACTTCAAAAAATTTCTTTGTTTCTAAAGGACTGTTCACTTCAAAGTAAAAACATTAATTCCAAGAAAGTCTGGAACTTTTCTACCCTATTAAACCGCTTTTGTAAAAATGAAAAATTTATCAAAATTGACGTTCTTAGGTGAACGTTTAGATTTTGATGAAACAGCATCTGGTGACTGAAAACTGATCTGCTGGAAAATTGTCAACCCACTGTGTAGTGACCTCTTTTGGGGGCTATTCACTGCCCACAGCTGTGAATGGTAGTTTTCTCTGAGAATAGGTACTACAGACTAATTGAACTCAATCTTACCACTGGGGGCACTCGGCAATTAAAAAACATGCCTCATGGAGCAGATGAATATGGGGAAAAACTAGTGAGCAGCATCAGCCTTGTCTGATTTGTGCGGTCTGAAGGAGATGAGGTCCCACGTTTGTAATCTGATGCTGCCTTTGTGACTGAGCTGTGGTGGCAAACGTCAGTTCAGTCTGTCCATTGTGTACTACCATGTCGTGTTTGCAAGAGCTTGTAACTCAAATTTATGCCACACCTGAATTGTTGGCAGACAAATTCTCAGCCAGGATTGTGTCTTTTTTTTAAAATTTGAATAAAGTAGCTTTGGCTACTTTTATATCTAAAAGTGCTAATAATGAACTCTGGTTTCTTAAACTGCTTGTTTTTGTCACTGTGAGCAAATATCTGCTTCTGGATTTTATAAATTTAGTTTTGAAGTTCATTTGTGTTTTACATGCAAAATTGTTTTGGATAAAACCAAAGAGTTTGCCCTGTTCTTACATGCTGACTGAGCCTGCTAGCCAAGCCAGCTGCATGCCAGTCTGTGCAGTAAACTTGTTTCCTTCAGCTGTATTTTACTCTGAAGTACAAAATTGTTCTGCATACTGTGTGAAAGCTCCCCTCCCCCCCAGAAAAAAACACCTCAAATAACCCCATGTGAAACTCTCACATAGACAGATACTTAAAGAACATAATGCTTTCCTTTAACTGCTTCCTTAATGCACTAAGATGGGTTGGCATTTTTGAGAGAGACTCTGGTTTGTTTTTCTCCTTCTTGGGTTTTTTGAACTTCTGGTTTTTTTCCCCTGTTTTTTTGGGGGGGGGTCACAGCCTTAACATTCCTGTAATATGTTTGTTTTTGTTGTTGTTCTGGAATCAATGCTGTCTACCCTTTTCTTTGACAGGCCATTTATCTTATCAGTAGGCTAGACAGAAACACAAACTGAAGCATTGGCAGGATGGTTTGTTTTACTGATTAAGTGGATTAGAGGCTGTCATGTTCTCTCTGTTCTGTTGAGCCCCCTAGTGTTTTGATTCTTCGTTTTCTATGTACGTTAGTTCTTTGAAGTGCTAGTCACTTGTATTTCCCTAGACTGCACCATAATCACTTTTTTTTTTAATCACAGCATTCAGTGCTGGACACTTCGTTTTCTCTTAACATTCAGTTGCTAATCACCTCCTCTGTGGATTTTTATCTTCTATGGACCATGCATTGTGTCTGACCATGTGTTATAGGGGAGGAGAATTTATGCAGTTGCCTGCAGTTAAGTAAATAGTTTGCAGAAATGTTAGTGTATATACCTTTGCTGCTCACCCCACGCTTTCCATTATCCAGTCTATATGGTAACGCTCCATCACCAAATTTTCTGAAGGCCTGCAAAGAATTGTTGCTTATGCAGAAGCTGGTAAATGATGGTAGGTGAGGTTTCCTCACTGCTGCATTCTGCCTATTTTTATAAATCAGTTCTACGGAAATAAAAATAATAAATAACCCAGCCCTTAAAGCTGAGCTGCAGAGACAATGCATTGCCTAACAGAGCAGGGGACTGGAGTCAGCATTTCTGGATTCTGTACTATGCTGTTCTGACCGAGGACAGATTACTTAATAGCTCTGTATATGTTTACTTATCAGCAAAATGAATAGAACAGTTATTTACCTCTCAGGAGTGTTGAGGATTCATAATCAGCTTTTTACTCCATATTTGTCTGACAAAATCCAAGTGACATTTTGGCTCTTTCTAGGAGGTCAGCTCAGGTCTTCCTGATGTCTTGAACACCAGTGAACCCCTAACACAGTCTCAGAAAGAGATCCAGCGCCAGTCAACACTGCAGCTGCTGCGCAAGGTAATGCAAATCCCAGAGAATGAGTCGGAACTGGCAGAGGTCTTCACACTCATCCACGAACTCAACAGCTCACGGCTCATCCTGTCCAACGTGAGTGAGGAGACGGTCACCATCGAGCAGACCTCCTGGTCAAACTATTATGAGTCTCCATCTACGCAGTGCCTCCTCTGTAACAGCCCTTTGTTCAAAGGGGGACAGAAGTAAGATTCTGTTTTAGATTTGTGACTCTCATTCACCCTTACTCTGATGTTCTGTATTAAAGATGTCTTTGAGGAAAATACTCCTTTATCCTCTCCATATGAAAGCCGTTGCAAAAACCATGCATCTCTGTAAGAAGTGCACATTTCCCTTAGCTCCCAAGATCAGCCTTACTCACATCTATGCTTATGTGAGTTTGGGAGTAGAAGTAGTAATATGTACTCAGGCCCTTTCTGCATCTGGGGTGGGTGATGGTTTTGAATGCACTTCTTCTGAAAGTGAAGGACTTGCAAATCCTACCCAAAAGCAGGCAGTGTGTACATTTTCTATCCGTGCACTTCAGTCCTGATCCTGTAGTACCATCTGCTTATTCCAGTTCTATAGCATCTCATAGCTCTGCCTGACCTGCAGGATTTCTGTTACTCAGAACACTTCAGTCCCGAATGCTCACGCCATCGTGTCAACCTGTGTCCAGGCATGAAAACTGACAAGTATTAATCCTTGTGCAGCTACCATCTTTGAGATTAACTCCAGATTCTTTTGAAGTGCAGCAACAATGATGCTCATCCTGTCACAGCTCTTGCACTCCTTTGATTGTTGGCTTTCAAATGAATGCTTGAAGTTTAACGTATGATGCATAACCACAACCTTAAACTCTCTTCTTCCATTGAATTTCTTGTCCCTATGGCCCTTTTTGTACTTTGAGATTTTAGGAGATTGGGTATGAGCTGTCTCTGGGTTTCTCCAGGTTCAAATTAAAGTTTCACACCCTTGAGGTTTGCTTTCCTACAACAGGCGAGTTCAGCGGGTTGAGTGAGCGTTCAATCTAGATTTAAATCTTATTTGACATCGGCTTCTGGTTGCTAATCCCATTTTATTTTTCCATTCTTGATGCTTTATGAAGTGCACAGTGAGGCAGATGGGAAAGATGCAATAGTGTAAAGCCGCAGGATTATAGATGTGCTGTAATACTACATGTTCTCTCTGTTTTCATTTTGTTGCCGGTCAGAGTGCTTGCTGTGTGGATCCTGTTAGTTGTGATGGGTCGTGCATAGACTCTCCAAGTTTAGCCTAGGTTTGATTCTGTCTGTCTTTAGAACTCAGACGGATGTTTTTGGAAAGAATCTTGGCAATCAGTTGCCTTCCCATCTCCTCAACTAGTGGCTGGTGTGGTTGCTCGCTAGTGGGATAATGGTGTTTTTGTTTTTTTTGTTTTGTTTTGCCCCCTGCTTGTATGTTACAGTTCTCTCGCTGGTCCACAGGAGTGCTGGTTGCTGACTGCTAACCGGTTACAGGTGGTTACTGCCCAGGTCAAAGTGTGTTTGAATCTGCAGTGCCTGGCCTTGCATAGCTTCACGGATATATACACAGGTAGGAAAAAACAAGCTATCAATAGGCTAATCTATAGAGACCAATATGCAGAAATCTGGGGCTTCTGGACTATGAAAGAAGCGTCCTCCTTGTACAGAAAAGATCTCTTCTCTCCACCCTACCAGACTTGAATTTTTGGATTGAGAAGTGAGCTGCTGCATTTCCTTACTGAGGTATATGTTAGTCCCTATAGTGACTGAGAGCACACCCCACTTGTCTTTGTATATGCACATAGTAAATCATTCTTTCTGTGTTGCAGACCATGAGCGCTCAGGCTCAGCTGAAAAATTCTGAAATTCCATGGACTTCCCAGCCCTTGTTGGCTGAGGGAATTGAAGCTGGGATCACTGTAGGTTTTGTAAAGCAGTGCAGGGCTGGGTGCTGTTATAATTAAAGGCAAGACTCGAAAGGGAGCTAATCCTACAGTAGTGCAAGGAGAGGGAATACATGCCCCAGAAGGCCTTTCTAGACATAATGTATGTGACTTTCTAAACCAAACTCAGCATGACTCATTTAGTGGTAAATGAGTGTGTTTTATGTTCGGTGTCTGTGGAATTCTAAATCTTCCCCGGTAACTGCTGTATTGTTTGTTTGTTAAACTGCAGGCCTGTTCAACGTGGGTAACAAGTTGTTAGTGAGCCTGGACCTTCTGTTCACTGTCCGAAACCATATTAAACTGGGAGAGGATCCCAAAGTGGCAGTTGGCAGCATCCTGGAATCTGTGCAGGAACAGACCGGTAAGGTGCTCCCTGGCCCTTTCTCGAAACAGTGACTATTCTGAACTTGCTGACCTCTCTCTTCTCTGAGAATTGTGAGGAGAGGGGTTTGGGTTTAATTTTAGGTCAAAGTAGTAAGTGACTACTGGATTATAAAACTCAGCCCTTCTGAGGATTAATGTATTTCTGTTGAGCTGGGTAGGATTTTGGTTTTGAGAGAATTTCTACTGTGTGTGTTTGAAAAGATACTGAATTCTCTGTATCCAGACCAATGGAAATGGCTGTAGTTCGCAATCAGTCAAATGTATTGTTTGGTGGCTGCCATCTTCTGTGAAAGGGGCAAAACTGTGTCTCCCTCTCAATCTTTCACCCGAACTCTACTGCCTCCATCCCCATCTTCCCAGCATATAACATTGTATAGACCCCTCCTGCCCGGGCATCCTTAATGTCTCCTCTGCAGAAAGGAAGGACTACTCCTTTCAGTGGCAGTTTACAGGCAAAATGGGTGGGCTTACTCTGGCAGATAATCTGTTTGCAATGCCAAGAACAGCAGGGGGTAAAAAAGGAGAAGGGGGAAAATAAGGCCTGAGTTCTTTGTTCAATCAGGTGAACTAGGCAGCTGGCCTGGAGACTTCCCAGTGTGGTGAGTTCAGGCTGAGAAGGCAGCTAGGGTCCTAGGTTAGGCTGGAAGGGAGATCGATCATTGATGCCTGGGGGGTGGGTGCTCGGAGCTATGGAATGTCACACACTGGGCAGATGGAGGTGTGGCTGGAAGTGCCCAGCTGATTGGGAAAGTGATATGGCACCAGGGAATAGCCTTCAGGAAGTGAGATCCGAGCCATCCTTAGCCATAGGCCTACCGATGACACCGGTGTTTCAGTGTTAATGTTATATTCTTTCTGAACCTTTATTCATTCAGCCTTTGATAGAAAATGGCCCATATAGCCATTAACTTCCTCCTTTCCAAGCAACGAAACATGTGGCTTTTTGCTTCTTGAAGTGCTTTGGTTAGGGGTTACTTGGGTTAACTTAAAACCTTGTTTGTCTAAAAATCCTTCCGGGGGGATGTTTCATTTTAAAATGGATTAGACTATGTGTCTGCATCTTGTTTGCAACATGTCACTGCCAGTCTTCCTGAGCTATTGATGCTTGTTCTTATTAAGTGGGGGTTTTGTGGTCCTACTCTGCTCTCTGAGGAATCCAGAAACATTATATACATCTCTCTTCTGGAACTGTCCAGCTGCCTCTGTGAGGCTTTTTCCTTATCCGTGATCTCAGCAATTGAGATTCCCCAGGGGAAAGACACTGACACCCTGAAGTAAAATTGCTTCCAAGAACTATTAGAGATTCACTCTTGTCCAGCTGTTCTGAGAGCTCGCCTTTGAAAGTGTTCACGTTAGAGCCAGACTTGGCCTGTTGCTTAGAAAAGCTTTTCAGCTGGTGCGGGGCGACTTTGGACTAGGAAAGAGCCACTTCAAACAGTACCTTGGTGATCAATTCTCCCCAAACATTTTGTCGAGATAAATCTATGGAGTGTGTTTTGTTGGTGAGCAGTGTGCTCTCTCTCCATTGGCTTTAGGAAGTGAAAGCTGTGTGAATGCAGTTTGAGTAAACCGTGCAAATGACCTCAAAAGTAACCTGCTCTTTTCTTCCCAGAGAAAACCCTGAGCCACGAGGAGCTGAGTCAGCTCCAGGAGCTGCTGTGCAGTGGCTACTGGGCCTTTGAGTGCCTCACTGTCCGGGACTACAATGATATGATCTGTGGAGTCTGTGGAATTGCCCCCAAGATTGAGATAGCCCAGAGGAATGCAGAAAACGTCCTGGCGCTAAAGAATGTCGAGGTAAATTAAACAAAAGCTGGAGGGAGCATTTGTGACAAAGCATGTCCCTGTTCTACAGTCGCTTCCCCGAGAGCCCCACGTGTGCAGAAGAGACTCACCAGTTAGCGCCTCCTTGTGGCTGGGTGCAGAATTGCTGGGCCTTCCCTTTGGTTGCCTCCTGTTGGTTGCCTCAACTGGTGTCTTCCGTGGGCTAGCCCTTAGGTCATGTAAAAGTTCCCTCCCCCTTCTGGGGTATCTAAGTCCAGCTGTAACACAGGCCCCACGCTGGTTTCTCCCAGCTGGCCTCTTCATAGTCCCTTTGGGCCAGCAGCAAAGTCCTTCCAAATCAATGAGAATTGCACTCTTCTTTCGCAGAGGAGCATATCCCAGTGCTCCAGAATAAAACACCGCTAAATATCTTTCACCCCTCTCTAGGCTTTAGCTTCTCATCATCAGCTCCTGGTTCCCCTCGTGGAATACTGGCCCCAGGACAGCCTCCTGGAGCCCAGCCCTTTGTTCCAGGGGACCCACCACAGAATCTAGCTCCACTCCTGTGGCTTAACTCTCCAGCCACAACTCAGTTCAACTGTTCTCCTCCACAGCCAGCCCTTAACTGCTGGGCTTCCTCCCTTTTAAAGTCCTACACCCAGCACAGGTGTGGCAAGGCAGGGCTAATTAAACAGGGCTAGCTAACCCCAGGTCTCTTGGCCATAAAGGGGCAGGCCCCCAGGGAAAGTCTCAAGAAGACGTTTGCTCAGTCTAATCTTAGTAATTCATAGTCATTACACTCAAGGACTTTGTCTAATAGGAGCATGCAGCCTGACCCAATGCTGTCCATATGTTATCCTCTGTGGGGGGAGAGAGATTTTAGATAAGGAGTTTGGAAAAATAGGGTCTGGCCTATTTTTCACACCACTGAGCCAACAGGATTCTGGTGTAAGAGAGCTGAGTGGAACTCTCAGATCACCATCCTCTTATGTATTGACTTTGAAGCATCCTTCTGATTTTGTTAGTAACAGTTTCTCTGAGGTGTCATGGGGTGTTTTCCTAACGCACAGAGAAGCGATTAGTGCTACGTAGTAACCCCTGTTTCTAGTTAAAGTAGATTGGTCTGAATCCTTGTAGGCAGAAAGGTCCTGTGGACTCCAACCCCATATATAGTAAGGAGACCCCCAGCTCCTCTTCCTACTCTGGACGGTGTGCGTGTTAGCCTTATGCTTCTGTTTCAAGTCACAAGTGGATACAGAGCTGTCTAGAAATGAAGCGTGTGTGCTGTTGAATAGATGATGTGTTTGTTCTCTCACCTCTGTTAGTTTACCTGGCCAGAGTTCTTGTCATCCAGCGAGGTAAATGTGGAAGATTTCTGGTCCACGATGGAGACAGAAGTGATAGAGCAGGTGGCGTTCCCATCTAGCATCCCGATCACCAAATTTGATGCCTCTATTGTTGCCCCCTTTTTCCCACCACTGATGAGAGGAGCTGTGGTTGTCAACACCGAGAAGGACAAGAACCTAGATGCACATCCGGTGCCAGGTAACTCGCGGCCATAGAGCACCTAACGCTGCTTTGGCTAGGGGTGGTGCTGCTGGTGGCTACCTGTAGGTGACCCATCTGCAGTTAAGAACTGAGGGTTTTGTTACACGATGCTCTAAAGAGAAGTGCTTGGCACTTCCTGGTGGAGTCTTTAGATCCACCAAAGCCATAGGGGGATGTGTAGATCAAGTTTTGATATTTCTAATTATGAATTCCAAATGGGGGGGACTTGGCCTACCCAGGGGAGTCTGAATGCTTTAGCTGTGATCTACTGGAGACAAGATACAGGGAAATTTAAGTGAACATCCCATTGCTCCAAATACAGTACATCGAAGTCTATAAATAGAATGTGTTTTCAGAATGTTACATGGAGATTAGTCACACTCAGCACTTGCTGAAACTGTTAAAATACTCTTTATTCTGTTTTGTGAAAACTCGTATTCTGTAGCTGCAGACAGTACCTGTTTTGTGCTGCTGCTGAGACACCAGAGGGGCGTGGCTTAGGTCTGTATGGGGAATAAAAGGAAGAAAGGACCAGATGATGGGCAGAATACCGCTCCGATACCACAACCTACATTTATTTCTGGTTAATGCCTTTAATATGCTGGGTCAGGACATCTTGTTTTAATCCTATAGACTAGTGAGCCATGAGTGAATAACTTGCATTGGAGTTGGATTCACCATTACCAGCTCTTTCTCCGCTAACCAGAGTTGTAAGGACACTGAAACTTTACCTTGCATTGGAGAGATCTGACTCCCAGGGCTTATTAATGTCTAAGGGGGAGTGAATTTAATAAAAAAAAAAGTTAACCTCTTCATTCCTGAACTGAGTTTGAATTCCAGGGAAAAGGCGCAGGGCAGAGTTGATAGTAGCATGCGGCCCTCCTGAAGCAGAAGGTGGATAGTGGCCAATTTTGGGGGAGGGAACTGGAGCAGGAGAGCCGGTGGAGAAACAGGAGCATCAACCCTTGGAAGTGGCTGGCTGGCTTAGGAGAGGGGCTGCAGCTGGGAGCCAGCACTGCGCACTGGAGGAACAGCATGCAGGCAGGCCTGTGTGGAAAAAGAGTTGTGGAGACAAAAATGAAGGGGTAGGCCAAAGGGTAGGCCTGGAGCTGCCGAGCCAGTTCTTAAAAGAAAGGGACTTGCAGTGCCGTGGGAAGGCAGCAGACTGGTCTCCAAGCTTGTCTTGATACCCACTTAACACTTTAATCCCAACAAATTACTAAAGAACATTTGGAGAGACTGTGAGTGCTCCTTTGGTGACTTGGTCCTGCTGACTCCTAGAATTGGTGCATGTTAAATGTCATGATTCCATCAGAACCCAGAAAACCTCATTAGAAAAGTAAACATCTGCTGACTCAATAGTTCAGTATCAGGCTGGGCTTTGCCTTTGGTTCTGGGACTTTCCACATATTCCGCCTTTTCACTGTAGCCTCGCTGACTTCCCTTGTGTTTCTTGGCTACCATCCGCCCACTTCTGGAGAAACTACATGGTGTCCTTTCCCTTCTGAGGGTGGGTGTTGAGAATGCTTTCTGCTTCTGCAGGTAGTGGGAGTGCTTTGGTGAGGCTGCTTCAGGAAGAATCCTGCAAACTGGAGCAGATCAACTCTTATAGTGAGGAAGAGCTGCAGTATTTCTTGACACAGTGCAGCATCCCCTGGGGGGCAGCAGACACGAAGGTAACAGGCCTCTTCCCTGTCCCCCCGCCGTGCCCCCACCACATCTAGTTTTGGAAGGGGAACCATTCTCATGCCTTCTTGTAAGACAAGAGGAGGTGGTGGTTATTCAGAACGACAATATGAGAAGTAACTTTTCACTCCACTGTATTTAGGAAGGAGAGAGGTGATTAGAAAGGACGAGACCCTGCAGATTACAGGGTAATTGACACGTGGGGGAAAAAATTCAACCGTGGTGGGTTGGAAAATGGAAACCTATAATCACTCTGTCGTGGGCTTCTCATCTTGGAGTTGCTTGTTATCCTCATGGTACTGAGCAAGGAATTAAAAGGCTGTTGGTTAGCATGAGTTTAACTACAACTTGTGTGATATTTCACTTACAGCCATGACCTTCTTTGGAGAGCCCTAGGCTTTGATTCTTAATTTAAATGTGGGCTTTTCTCTTGGTCTCTCTGTTCTTAGGACCAGCTCTGTTACTCCCTCCTGGCTCTCTATGACTTTGTACAGAATGGGGCAGATGCCAAACAACCCCCCGTCCACCACACAGGAGGCAAAATCTACAAAGTGTGTCCACATCAGGTAAGGCAGGCTAGAAACTGCATTGTGGCTATAAGGTATAATTGACAGATGCTTAGACAATAGCTTGACTGACACATGACCTACCACAAAATGTGTTTTGTTTTTTCTCTCTCTCTCTCGGAAGAATAAACAGGAGGCTGAGAATAGGCAGGTGGTAAATTTTAGGTTCTTGTTCTCCACGTTCAGGGGTGAGGAGAGACGAGCCAGGTTCTCTCTTGGGGGTGACTTTGCCTTCCAGAAGCATTCATGCCACGTTGCCTAGTAGTAAGAGGATGTTTGATGTTGAGTTCTTGACTCTGCCACAGAGGTGGGATTGGAAATTCTCATTCCTTGCCTGGGATACAGTCAGCTTATCTGGGGAGGAGAGAGAAAATCTTAAACAATATGAGGTTGCTGAGTCTAGGTAGTTTCCAAACGCACCGAGGAGAGGAAGTGTAATATTGGATTTGTTCTATATTCTTTGTTGTTCCTTAGAAATTCTCCTTTCTCAGCTGTAGTGCAATGCACCAGACCAAAAATTCATGCTTGTCCTCTTCACTTTCTTCCAAGGTGGTGTGTGGCTCAAAGTACATTGTGAGAGGGGAAAGTGCCCGGGACCACGTGGACCTGCTAGTCTCCTCACGCCACTGGCCACCAGTCTATGTGGTGGATATGGCTTCTTCGGTGGCATTGTGTGCAGATATCTGCTGCCCTGCCCTGACTGTCCAGATGTGGGGGAAAAACCAGGGATGCTTCTCTGATCCCGTGGAGCCCCCAACGGTTAGTTACGTTGTTCAGTCTATGCTGTCTGTGAGGATAATGGGAATTTTCAGTGTTGGTATCTGTATTGTGGGATCTGCAATTAATGCAAAGTTGAAAAAAATAGTGAGGAGTGAATTATGCAACCTTTTGTTACTAGGCTGATCTTGGAGTTTTGAGCACTGCATTCTGCCTATTAAGATGACTGAACCTTTGGAAATGCATGTTTCACGACCTGCCCAGTGCTGTGGCTTCACTTACATGTTGCTCCTGAGGAGAGTTACAGACAAATTGTACTGTCTGTATTGCATGACATTTGCACTCCTCTGGTTTACCAGCGCAGTCTGTCTCTTGAATACCGTAGTTATCCAACTCACGGACCGTGGAGATGTGATGGATTTTTACGGGGGACAGTGCGGTATAACCTGTATAACATGACCAATAGAAAAAGTTATTACTTACCTGATAGGGAGGCTGGGGAGTCAGAACATCACTGATGTGCTGCTGATGTTTTATAAGAACAGCCGTACTGGGTCAGACCAAAGGTCCATCTAGCCCAGTATCCTGTCTACTGACAGTGGCCAATGCCAGGTGCCCCAGAGGGAGTGAACCTAACAGGTAATGATCAAGTGATCTCTCTCTCTCTCCTGCCAACCATCTCCACCCTCTGACAAACAGAGTCTAGGGACACCATTCCTTACCCATCCTGGCTAATAGCCATTAATGGACTTAACTGGATAAATTCATGGAGGTTCTCTTTTAAATGCTGTTATAGTCCTAGCCTTCACAACCTCCTCAGGTAAGGAGTTTCACAAGTTGACACTGCGCTGTGTGAAGAAGAACTTCCTTTTGTTTTAAATCTGCTGCCTATTAATTTCATTTGGTGAGCCCTAGTTCTTGTATTATGGTAATAAGTAAATAACTTTTCCTTATCTATCATATCCCCCCTTAGTCGTCTCTTTCCCAAGCTGAAAAGTCCTAGCCTCTTTAATCTCTCCTCATATGGGACCCATTCCAAACTCCTAATCATTTTAGCTGCCCTTCTCTGAACCTTTTCTAGTGCCAGTATATCTTTTTTTGAGATGAGGAGACCACATCTGTATGCAGTATTCGAGATGTGGGCGTACCATCGATTTATATAAGGGCAATGATGTATTCTCTGTCTTATTCAATATCCCCTTTTTAATGATTCCTAACGTCCTGTTTGCTAATTTTGTGACCGCCTCTGCACACTGCATGGACATCTTCAGAGAACTATCCACAATGACTCCAAGATCTTTTTCCTGATTTGTTGTAGCTAAATTAGCCCCCATCATAGTGTGTGTGTGTGTGTGTGTGTGTATGTGTGTATATATAGATATAGATATAGATATAGATATAGATATATATAAAAATAATATAGTTGGGGTTATTTTTTCCAATGTGCATTACTTTATATTTATCCACATTAAATTTCATTTGCCATTTTGTTGCCCAATCACTTAGTTTTGTGAGATCTGTTTTAAAACTGTCTGTGTGGTGGCAACGGGGTGTACGGGACCCACCCTTCTCGGACTTTTGGAGAAAGCCAAGTATATTTGCTTCCATCCTGCTCCAGGTCATTATTCTAGTCTCTCTAATTCAGGGAAATTTTAGGGCTTTATCTTATTTTTTTGGGATCAGGCAGTGGTTGAGGGAAACTGCTAAGCAATCCGCTGGCATGTATGCAATCTTTTTTTCCTCTCTCTCCCTCAGTGTGTGTCCTGCCCGGAGCTGTTAGACCAACACTACAGTGTAGATATGACCGTAGCTGAGCACTCTGTCCAGCACCCAGTCACCAAATCCACAGCCCGCCGAATTGTTCACACCGGGGCAGAGCAGAACAGCCAGAGTGATGCAACTGCTCGGCACCGTTCCATCTCACTGTGCCAAGAGCTAGAACCTTATAGTGCCATCCTCACTGCCATCAATGACAGCAAAAGCAGCCACGTCCGCCAAAGGCCCATCACCTTCGACAACGCAACCCACTATTACCTCTACAACCGCCTGATGGATTTCTTCACCAGCAGGGAGATCGTGAACCGGCAGATCCATGAAATCGTGCAGAGCTGTCAGCCCGGCGAGGTGGTGATCCGGGACACGCTGTACCGATTGGGAGTGGCACAGATCAAGACAGAAACCGAGGAGGAGGAAGAAGAGAACCAGGAAGATGATGGAGAGGTTGCTGAATAAACCGCTCTCAACTGGTGGTTAGTCCCTTTCTAACCATGCAGATGGGCGTGCTGGGCTGCTGCAAGGTCTTGGCAGACTGGCTAGGCTTAACTGCAGGAGGTAGTTGGTTTTTGCTTTTTTTAAACAAAGAAGCTGTGATTGCTTGCACTGACCAAAGAGCCATGTGCTTCCAGAGGATCATGATTGCTGCTGTGAGCATAAGTTCCGTTAACATCCTTGCTTACAGGATGGGATTCCCTTCCAAGGTGCTTCTTGGACCCGTCGATTTGTCGTGCAATGTGCTGTTCTCACACAGCAGCTGGATGGGGTGAAGGGATCAGTTTCCAGTCCCTGGGAATGTCTGAGATGGAAAAGCACAGGGTTGGTTTTTTTTGTTTTGTTTTGTTTTTTGTTTTCATGGATCTTGTTTGCTGACCTTGTTAATATCATCAGTACAGGGTTGGGTGGGGGGAGCAGGATGGAAGAAAGGTGGATGAAAATGTCCAAGTCCCCACCAAATTCTGCTCTGAATGGATTAGCATAATACACGGACATTCCCGCTTTGGAATCACCCCTTCCATCTGGCTATGCATTCAAAAGGATCATGTTTGGTGGCCTGCAGCTTTAAAATAGTCAAGTTTGGGTAGCCTCACAGGAGGTGCTAGTGCCCAGAACTGAGTTAAGCAGTCATGTGGGGTGGGTGCTCCCTGCTGTTGTCCTGGGTTCAGTAACAGTGCAGTAGTGCAGGTATTTAGCCTGTGGAGAGGTGTGTCTGAGTTTCTAGGACTGTTAGTCCCTTAACAGGAGGAGCAGTAATAATTATTTCAATCTTGATGGTTGTCTGCATTACCGAAGAGTTGAACTTGATGATGGGTTGCCCTGGACTTGGCTAGCCAAGGGCTAACAAACTTCTTTAAGGACTGCTTTGAGCTGTCTAAGGCAACAACTTTTTAAACCAGCAAGGCGCTTGAATTCCACGCACTTCTTTTTGGGCACTTTATTCTTTTAGCTGTTACATCCCATTCATAGACTTCAAGGAAAATTTATATTTGTCCTACAATTGGGGCTGAATGGCAAAAGACAGCTGTGCAGCAGTAACAAGAGGCAATGAATGCAACGTAACCAGAGAGGCCCATGAAGAGAGATTTTTATAATCCTCTCCCAACTGAGACTGTGGTTGAGAGGGCTGCATCCACTCTCCTTTCTGAGCCGTTTGCAAAGTGTGGTGACCCATCCTGCCATTATCCCCACAGCGCTGTCAAACTTAAATGGGTCCGTGCTATCTATACACTGCTCTCACTATTTTCCTTTGAGCCAGGCTGAGTCCCCCTTCCCTCCAGCATATTTAAACAGCAGCTCAAACCCTGTTTGTATAGCTGCTTGCATTGTCCACTGACACCCTTTCTCTGCTGCTGGCCATAAATCTCAAAATATACACGTCAGGTCCGGCTCAAACAAGGTAGAAGGTGGGATACTGGAATGGTGGGAAACCAGGAAAACTTCCAGGAAGGCTTTTCCTTGTGTGGTCAGAAGAGTGGATAAGAGACTTGTGGTGTTGATGAAAATTCCCTTCTGTGAAGGGGAACCTACTGAGTACCATACTGTAAACATAAATGTATTAAGTCTGAACAAATGCAGTAATTATGGTTTGGGGTTTTTCTGTTTAAAAATGTTAATTTATTCTAAAAGACATTAGTGACTTTTTTCAGTCAGTGATAAATTTTAATAAATTATCTCCAATTTTTTGGGTGAAACTATGTGGCAAAGTGAGTGTTTATTAACATTTGACAGCCTAAGGACTCTGAGAGCCAGTGAGAAAAGCTTGTAAATCAGCCAATTAGTCATGTGGTCTGACAGCTGATGCATTAGCCATGGTGCTGGCACAGAGGCATGCCAGCTTCTCAGTTACATGAACTTCCTGTGAGGAAAAATTAGGGGAAACATTTTTGGTCTTCTCTGCAGTACTAAGTTCTGAAAGGGGCAAATACAGAAGCTACCTGGGCTCCTAACCCCAGTGTTGAATCTGTGAGGCTTTCAGAAAAAGTTATGTTTTTAAATACAATTATGGTGTAGCTCCTCTAAATGGAAAGAAGACAGCCCCTGAGATAAAGAATTAATCTAATGGTAAAACAATTGTCAGGGTCAAATGTTCCCCCTTCCCCAGCATTTCAGATGTTCATGGGGGAGATTTATGCATCAGCTGCTCTTCGGGGGTAAACACAATATTTAAAAATAAATAAATAACCCTTTGGGTTCTCACTGATGTCTGCTTATCTTCATGGTGCAAGCAGTGTAAAACAAAGTCTAGGTTTTGGTTCACTGTACAACAGGTCCAATTCGTTCATTTGTGTAACTCCACTGACTCAGTTACCCAAAGGTTGAATTACTATTGGAGCACTGATACAAGTTTATAGTCCTACAATTACTTGTAGTGTGCTGATAATGGAAAAGTTGGTAGGAGGGAAATTGAGCAGGTGACATCTCACCAGTAAGCCTCTCCCTCGGTGTTGATGTGGGTTTTTTTAAAACATTTCACTTTCCTCTTCAACTTTTTGCTGTTTCAATTGTGCATTGGTGTGGAACAGATCCTGAAGGAGAAAACGGAGGTAAAGAGGCACTTTCTCCCTTCATATGCCAACCTATCCTGTTCAGCCAGGTATCCATTCTACCCAGTGTGTGGCATAATCTTATCTCTTTTCTTCCCAAAAGTGTTTTAACCCATGAATATGAATATCCTGTAGTTGCACCCCTCCTCTTTCCATTACTTAACTTCTCCCAATAATAGGTGCCTCGGAGCAAAAGAAGCTTGCCATTAACAAGTTTGTCAGCTTGTAATCAAGTCAACATTCCAACAACTGGAAAAAAGAAGGGGTTAGTTAGCTACCTAAATAATTATTAGAGCAAATCAGTAGGGTCTGACTGGCGAGGCTTTGCCCTTTCTCTGACACCTGAAGGGAAGGGAGGGGGAGACTCCTATGAGGTCATCTAGAGAAAAAAAAATATTAACGACATTGCTGTGTTAATCATGTTCATTTTATTTTCGTCATTATAATGCTAAGTGGAAATGCATTAGCTTGTATTTAGTGGAAAGGAATAATTTGTCTTAAACTTTACCCCCACTACATGGTTTAATCCTATGTTGAATTCAAAATGGCCCCCAAAGTAACTAATAGTAGTAGTCTGATAAAGGCCAAATTATATAGCTGCTATTGTACAGTAAGAGTTGCCTAAACCAGGTCAGTGTATATACCCTGTCATACTAATAGATTTGTTAGAGACTCCCTTACCAGAAGTCCTGCACTAATATAGACTTGGCTGCTGTGTAGAATTAGTAAAAATGAAAGATTTAGAAAAGCTTCCTGTGAGGGCACAGGGCCCTAGCTTATGAAAAAATGATCTTGTATAACATTCTCACTATCTACATTAAAACATTCCCATCATGGTTTTGTGGTATAGGCAGTAGTTGCTGAGTTGCTACATTAATTGTTCAATAATTCAAACATACATTACAGTGTGTGTATAATGTTGAGCTGTTTCCAGATCAATATAAAAAGCTGCCATTCCTTCCTCGATAGGCATGGGATGTAAATCCCCCTTATGAAGTACAGCCCTGCTCTCTTTAAATTTCACTTGGGGACATTCACCCTCTGGAGCAGTAATGGCTCAAAGGGACTGTCCTCTCAACAAAATCTGTAATGCTGAGTGTCGTGTCAGCAGCAGTTTGGGTGACATGAGATGCAGAATCCTCATCTTCACTTAGCTGGGATGTGGGGTATGCCACATATTTAATGCTAGAGAAGCTCTTCAGCTATAACTAATACTCTGTAATGTGCATAGACAAGAGGAGAGGGAGGGAGACTAGTGAAGAAAAAGGCTGGTTGTTTCACTGTTAACAGGCAGGGCTGTCTGAGTTAAAGTAGCTTACTTTGAAGCTCTTGTGCCTGCAGGCGCACCCACTCACATACAGAAACACAAGGATTCCATTATAGGTGCACAGCAATACATATCCGTGTAGAACAATACATGGTGGATGCATGCCAGCCTGCAAAACTGGCCTTTGGAAATGTCTTACAAGCCAAAAGCCAGCCAAGCACGAACTGACTAGCATAGAGTTAGGAACTGCTTGTCAAGACGACTGCATCAATGGGCCTGTATGTCACCAGTTTTGGTGAGAGACTCTAAGGGGATCTGATCCTCTCCTCATATACATGGATCATGTTTAACATTCCTGGTGACTTTGAGCTAGGCTTCAACACTGTAGGGATCATGCATGAGTCTTGGCTCTTAGCTCCTCTAATGATGCCCTTTCAGGGGGGGAGTTCTGTAATTCTTTCACACTTCAGAAAGCACGGAGATAAGGAGACACTGAACACCAGGAACCTGCCTTCTAGCCAAGAGAGGGACCAAGTCCTTTGCAATGATGGGGGAAGATCCATCCAACTTTGACCGTACACATTAACAGAACTGGTAATTGTTGCTCTTCAGAAGAGGCTGACTGCTATCTGCTTGGTCACAGGACTCTTCACAGCAGCCAGAGGGCTCGCACACGCTGTCTTCCTCTGAGCTACTGGGGAGGTTTGTATAGTCCTTAAAGTAAGAAAAGGCAAATAGATTTCAGTCCCTTGAGTTTACTTAAACCCAGCTGTGGTCTAGTTCTCCATATCACTTGCCAAAATGGAAATGCTGCTGCTGCTTCCACACCCAGGAGACTCATCATTTTTGCGTAGATTTACATTGGTGGATTTTCTTATCTTTTGGGGGGAGATGCGGCATTGCCTTTGATTTCAGTAGGGATTGAATGCACAGGAGCTGGGCACTATCCTTGTGGGTAAGGTACAAACTAGACTGCAAGCTCCCCCCACATAATCGGTTAATAGGGTATGTGCTGTTGATACTGCATCTTCTATGGTACGACTGTAACTTGTCATAGCCTCTCTGCTTTGCTTTGCCAACTAGAGCACAAGTTCTTGTGCATCTCCAACTAGGCACAGTACTAAGTGATGTATTTTTTTTAAGCCTTCTTAGTATTTAATTGATTTACAAGGTGCTAGTGGCCAGGCAAGAGTGTGGCATGTTTAAGGTGCAGGGGAGCTACTGTTGATAATCAACAACCTGCTTACGTGCCTCCTGGAGAGCAAATCAGTGCTTTCTCCAGGGCCACTTGGATAGCTCAAGATACTGTTCATGAGGTACGGCACCTCTTGCCTCACTGCTTCCATGCCACTTCAGGTTAGGAGTGACAAAGTATGGTTGCTACCACTAGGTGCCCGTGTGAAATGAATGGAGATGTAGACATGTCCACACCGCAGAACATCATGGCTACTGGCAGCCTCAACTGAATCAGCGTGGTGGCTTACCCATTTTCTTAGCACTTAGTAGTGGTCCCTCGTGCTGAAATAAATGGAATCTGTCGGAAAACTAGTGCTGCCAATGTACCAATGTGAGGGCAAGTTGGGGGACTTTGTACTCCACTTCCGTACCTTTTTGTGCTTTCCAGCAGCACTAAAAAAATGTATTTTTTTTTTTTTTTA